ATTCTCGTATTCTTTTTCAATTTTACATTTCATTCTCACTTTTTCATCATATTATTTTTATGTTTTATATATCATTGTACAAAATGCAATATAAAAACTACAATGAATAGAAATACAAATAATATACATATTTGAATGAATATGATTTAGGAAAAGAAATAAATTTTTGAAGAGAAATACATACTAAAAAATTATACGAATACAAATATGTTTCTTAAATAGCTACAGATTTATTTGGCATACATGTTGGAACGAATACAAACTAATCAAGCGATACAAGTTTTATTATACAAAATACAACACGAATATTAGAATGAATACAAATACCAATGGTATACATGTTGGAATAGATACGATTTAAGCAAGGTTAAAAAATTCTGAAGAATAAAATAAAATACATTGTGAGAAAAATATGCCAAATAAAATATAAAACTGTAGGTGTACAAATTTCTAAATTATAAAAATTTTAAATTTAATTGATAAAACTATAATGCATTATCATAAAGTTTCATAATATTTAGTGAAAATTGGATATTGAATTTTTTGATTCCGTGATTTTCATAACAATAATTAGTGAACATTGGATATTGAAAATTTTATAGATGTGGTAGTTCTTCAATTCCGTGATTTTCATAATAATAATTAGTGAAAATTGGATATTTTCTTTGCAAATAAAAGTGTTTAGAAACAAAAAAGAATAAGAAAATTGGATATTTAATTTTTCTAAAACAATGTGAAATGCTTTTTTTTAGAACATGATGAAAGAAGAAGAAAGAGATGGAAGTTGGGGTATTTTGATAAATTGCAACAGATGAGACTCTTAAACATTTGTTCCTTTTTTTAAAAAAAATTATCTCTCCTGAATTCCTCCAATTTGTTATATTAGAATTGTATTCTTTAAATAAAAACATAAATAAGATACATAACAAACTAAAATTTTGAAATTTTTACTAAATATTGAAGTGTTGCTAATGACCCTCTTAAATATTAAAATATTGACATTTTGAAAAAATTTCCGTTAAAAATTAATTAAAATTATAATAAAATAGAATACTAAAACTAATAACGAAATCTAAACTTGAAGTCTTATACCATGCGTATAAACATCACAAAGTTCAAATCCTCACATAAAATTTACATTTTTTAATGACTCTTCATTACTTTCTTGTTCTTGTTACTTGAGTTTGATGTTCTTTAGGCTAGGGTCTTTTAGAAACAATTTGTCAAGCTCTATGAGATAGTGATAAGATCTACGTACACTCTACCCTTCATAGACCTCACTGAGTAAAGTTTCACTAGCATGTTGTTGTTGTTGTTGTTATACCTATGATCTTTAAAAAAAAATACAGTAATTTCAAATTAAATTCATACAACCAAAATTTTACCTGAAGTCAAACGTAATGCATTATTAAAATTATTTTATTTGTGCATGGTTTATGACTTTAAGTTTAGATTCTTGTTATTAGTTTTAGTGTTTTATTTTATTATAATTTTTAATTTGATCCACGGGTTGACCCAACTCATATAGTTCAAGCCCCAGAACTAGTTATTTAACCGATGTGCATATACAATTTATCTTTCTTCCCTCTCTCGCTCACCTTTCTCCTATCTCTCTCAATCTCGTTCCCTTCTTTGCTCCCTCTCTCAATCTCGCTTGACATATATATATATATATATATATATATATATATATATATATATATATATATATATATATATGTATGTACAGTTATCTGACCGATATACATATATAATTCATCTCTCTTCGCCCTCTCGCTCGCCTCACTCTTCCCGCTCCCAATCTTGATTGCCTCTCTTCTCCCTCTCCTAATCTTGCTCGCCTCTCTTCTCCTTCTCTCAATATTGCTGGACATATACATATACATATGTATAACATATAATTATCCAACCAATATATATATACACAATTCGCCTCTCTCCCACTCTCTGCCCTCACTCACATGTCTCTCTCCTCTCGCTCCCAATCACACTAGCCTCTTTCCCCCCTATAACATGTTAAAAATTGTAATTATCAAACTATAGTTGTGAAGAGTAATTAGGCTATTTTTGAGTGGCTATGTGTGAAAGTTCAACTTCTTACAATTATAAATGGTGTGTATTTAAATTTTAATTTATGTGACAAAATATTGTATATTGACTTGTATTTTCTTAATTTGTAAACTCTGACAGTTGCATGTGATTGCATCTATGCTTTAAGTAAACGCATTTGATATAAGCGATTTACGGCTCTTTGTTTAGGGAAACGTCACTTGACCTATTTCTCCTGCTTGTCCTCCCATACACTTTTTCTTTTTGTTTATTCTTGTTAAAAATAATATTAGATATATTTTAAGAATTATATAAATAATACATCGAGTTTAGTCAGAAAACTATTTGTTCATGTGATTATTTTTTCATATATATACTTTTTCAATAGTTTAGGTATGAAATTAAAAAAAAATTTAGATGTGTTTTTGACACATCTCTTTATTATATATATATCTTCAATTAGAACTTTCCACATTATGTTTAAGACCGCATGAAAGACATTTCGATATATTTAATTTAAATTTTTTTATTTTTTTAAATTTTGTGTCAAGTAATAAAAATAAGTAAAATTGAATTGGATAATGGTACAATGGGTGTCCAAGCTACAAGCATTCATAAATATTCTGATCACCTAAGAAGCAATTATAAGAGTTGAAGTGTATGGCAGACATAGAAGGTGAAGGTCTATTGATACATCAACTATTGAAAAAGTTGATGAACGTCTTTTAAGGTCTAGAGTTGCATCATCGCTCGTGGAGGCCTGCCTTACATACTATACATGAGGTCAATTAAATTAATCCGATTAGTTAATAATTGTATTGTTATTTTGCAATTAACATACAGATTTTTCAGAAATATCAATTTGAATATTTTCACTATTTGTTACCATTTTCTCATGCAACAGTCCAACCAATCCAACATAGTTAGTTAAGGTAGACATGCTAATAATCGTTTTAGCACATTCTATATACTTGAATCAGTTCATATCAGTAATTATTTCATCACATCAATTCAAAGCAATCATCAAAATATGTTCAAAGTTTGCCATCTTTATCCTACAGATAAAAATAAGACATTTTTTTAATAATTTATAAATCAGTAAAACAATTGTAAAGCTATATTAAGAACTTAACATAATACTCTTTTAGTCTATTTCAAAAGAATGTCCTTTTTTTTATTTACATTTTAATTTTAACATTCCACATGGCAGGTTTAAGACCATAAGATTAAAAGAAAGTTTTGTACATTTCACATAACTTTAATTTAGGACCACAAGATTTAAAAGTTTTCTTTATTTTCTTTAACTTCGTGTCAAGTAAAACCATGTCATTCTTTTTAAAACGGAGGGAGTACAATACGTTAACTCGACTTATTTGTACATGATGAAGTTTTCTGAATAATGACCCACACTAGTGAAAACTTTATTGAATATTGTTGGAATATGTAATGCATTCCTTACGATAAGATTTATTTTATAATCATATACGGTCAGTTCGAAAAATTGAGGAATATGACTTTAACAAAGTGTCATAATCGACAATCATGTTTTGAAGGTAAAAACTTTACTGATAATAATGTTTTATAGATAAATTTGTAGAATTAGATGACCTCTGATTCAGAGGCGAACTCACACATTTTCATGCAATATAGATTGCCCCCAAACCATTCATTCACGAATTTCAACGTACTGATGGATCACTCTCAAGGATGGAGGTTCATGGGCTTGGGAAATGCGCTTTAAAGGAGCTCCTAGCTGAGAACCACCCTTTATGGACGATAGCTTGGAGTGTGGGAGGCTCAATGTTGTGAACCAAGCTAGCTCTATAAAGGCCTATGATTTAGAATTGAGAAATGAGATTGGGCCGAGTAAAATATTGGAGTGTTTTATTTTGGATCTAGACCCAATTAGCATATGGTTCAAAGACAAAATGAGTTGTAAAGAACGGTTTATGCATATTGAGGAAAATGTTTGTCTTCTCCTGTTCTTGTAGAATCTAAGGGCCCGTTTGGATGGGCTTAATAAAAGCAGCTTTAAAAAATTACTTTTGAAAGTGCTGAAACTTATTTTAAAATAAGCAGTTATGCGTTTGGATAAAAGTGCTGAAGTTAAAAAAAAGTTGTTGATGTGTTTGGCAAATAAGTGCTGATAAACAGCTTTTTAAATCAAAATGTCTGAAATACCCTTAAAAGTTGTTAACATAATAAAAGTTAATTAATTTATATTTTACAATCATTCACATATTTCTTTCTCATCACAAATTATTTATAAGAGGAATATAAACTTATTATAGATTTTAAAGATATATAATTTGAATAGATTAAAGAACGATTTAATATTTTATTTTAGTTTCATCCATAGGTAATAATAATTGTCTATCATTCACAAATTTCTTTATTATCACAAATTATTTATAAGAGGAATATAAATTTTTATTTAAGTTATATGTGCAACTTATTTTACATTTTAATAATATATAATTTGAATAGATCACTTGAAAGATTTAAGATTTATTTTATTTTCATTCATTAGTAATAGTAATTGTCTATCATCCACATGTGAAAAGGGAAAAATAGAAGAAAGAGATGTTAGGGTTATGTGAGTAATTTGGAGATTGTATAAAAATAGTAAGGGCAAAAAGGTAAAAATGTGGTCAACTTAAAACAACTTATAAGCTGGAAAAAAAAGCACCCCTACCTCGCTTTTAACTTTTGGCTTAAAATAAGTTTTTTTAAACTTAAAATAAGTTGTTTTGAGTATTGCCAAACAGCTAAATAAGTCAAAAACCAGCTTTTAAGCTGAGCCAAACAGGCTCTAAGTCCTCATCTCCATTCTTATTCTATCTTTAATTGCTTGTATTTCAATATTTCTATTGTAATTCGGTAGTTTGATTATTTCAATTAGAATCTTAAGGTTGTAATCTTGTTTTAGTGCTCTTATTGATATACGACAGTTTGACTCTGTCTCGAGGGACTGTCATTTTTCTGGGTATGATGATGGGGTCAACCCGATTTCTTCCCGTGCATTTCTACAATCTACATTTACTATGACACATGACGAGGTAGATAGTAACCCAACGATTAGTAAAAGTATAACAATATCTTTTCAGGGCAAAGAGATTGTTGAAGCTCTAAGTCTTGGTAACTTTTCTCTGGAGGATGAGGTTTCCATTCCAACAAGTGCGATGCATTATGTTGACGTATATCTTGAAGCTGACAATGGAAAATGTATTGAGGAATTCGACTGTCAACATAAGTTGAGTCCATTTCCATTTGCTTTTGCTGGTGATTTTCTGACTGTAACCATTCCAGTAATTGTGATCCTTCTACCTGGGATCCAGGAATACATTTTGAGTTCAAAGCTCTAACAAGTTTTACAGTATACAATGCAAAGGAACTACTATTGTTAAGATGTACTTACTATTTATTCTTAATTACGTATTCAAACTCTATGAATATAGTGTGGGATCCTGGACTACAATGGTGTGTAAATTCCTACTTGCTAAATTTGTTCATATGTCTGTCAATTGAATATACAGTAGTTTTAAAGCGATATTATTATGATGTAAAATATGAGGTTTTGGCGGTCAACTCCAAGCACACATCAGTTTTATATATGGCCAACTCCAAGCACACATCAATTTTACATCTTCACTATATACATGTGCTTGATACAATGTTACTGGAGTGGGAAGAGATAGTATTCAGGAGTGGATATAAGGTAATATTTCAGGTTGAGCCCCCTGCTACAGGCTACACACTTTATGGGTCCTTGAGATGATAGAGTGCACTGCACATCATAGATTACATCATGCCTTAGATACTCCAATATTTGTTGTTATCCTCTTGAACAAGTGTATGGTTGCAGGGCAGGTTGTACATGAACATCATGGTTGCAGGGCAGGTTGTACATGAACTCCGTGGTTGCAGGGCAGGTTGTACATGAACTCTATTTAATAATGTCGAAGAGTTTTACTGCAAATCAGAGAAAGTGTGGTTGTTGGTTGATGTCAGTTTCAATGCAGAGGTTTGGGGGAAGGTTAGATTATAACACTATCATCAACTTTTGAAGGTGAATATTTCAATTGATCATAGAGGAACCAATATGAAGTCAAATGGAGTACGAAGGGAATTGCAGCTCTTGTTAGCCATATTTGTTGGTTGCTATCAGAAAATATGTCGAAGATCTCTTATGTTGCTGCTAGTATTGCTTCCATAAGTTTGGGTCAGATGTTTAGGTGCATTTCTTTTTCAAACATATTTCAAATTATACTCCATATTGCCGGATGATGTATCCTGACTCGAACCTTGAGAACAAGGTTCTCTTTGGATACAAGTGTATTGTTGTGAATAAAACTAGCTCTATTAGGGCCTATAAGTTAGAACTGAGAAATAAGATTGGGCCGAATAAAATATTGGAGTGTTTTATTTGGGATCCAAGCCCAACTATCATTTGGTTTAAAGACAAAATTAGTTGGAAATAAGGGTTTATGCATACTGGAGAAAATGTTTGTCTTCTCTTTTTCTTCTAGAATCTAAGTTCTCATCTCCATTCTTCTTCTATCTTTAATTACTCTTCGTTTCAATATTTCCATTGTAATTCGGTAGTTTGATTATTTCAATTAGATTCTTAAGGTTGTAATCTTTTTCTATTGCTCTTATTAATATAGTGAGGATTTCAGTTTGTTACATTGGTGCGTATTGTTGTGAACCAAGCTAGCTCTATAAGGGCCTATGAGTTAGAACTGAGAAATGAGATTGGACCGAGTAAAATATTGAACTGTTTTATTTGGGATCCAGGCCCAATTAGCATTATGTTTAAAGACAAAATGAGTTGGAAAGAAGGGTTTATGCATATTGGAGAAAATATTTGTCTTGTCCTCTTCTTCTAGAATCTAAGTCCTCATCTCCATTCTTCTTTTATCTTTAATTACTCGTTATTTCAATATTTCCATTGTAATTCGGTAGTTTGATTATTTTAATTAGAATCTTAAGGTTGTAAGACTGTTCTAGTGCTCTTATTAATATAGTAAGGATTTTTATTTGTTACATCCAATGGGGCAAGGAGGAGTAAAGGAAATTGTTTTTCCATTCGGTGAAATGCCAGCCACTTTGGCGACTCGCTGAACATCTTTGGCAAGGGTTCCAGGATCGCCGACTGATCCAATGAGATGCATAAAAAGGTTGCCCATTCATCGAGCATAGAGGACATTCGACACATCTCCCTTTGAACTCCAAACCACCGAAAGTTACAGCAAGCCATCCAAGGAGAAGCCAATGAGCAGGGCTCTCGCCAAACTCATTTGGCGGATCGCCAAGTCATTTGGCGAGCTCGATTTGGCTTGCCCATTGGCCTATTTTAGGGTCACTTTCGGGCTCATTTATGTAACAAGCCTAACCTTATAAATAGGTTCCTTAGGGTTCATTTTAAAGGATACTGATTTTGAATATTGTGATTGTAAACCTAAACACCTTGTGTGAGTGTTGAAAGCTTTGTAAAATTTTGTTGAACATTGTTTAGAAATGATGGTTGCTTGGTTTATTGATTCCCTCGATCTGGTCTTCGTAAGAGTTGGGTTCTAGATGGATTAATGAGGTGAGGCCATTAGGTTGCTATTTATTTCCTCTGTTTGTGTCTATCTATTATTCCGAATTTGGTACTTGTTAGGATCTAGATTGGAGGTTGTTTGAAGAAGTTAAAAATTTCTACTACTTAAGAAAAAACATAAATAGAAGCAAAAAAAAAAATTTTCAAGACCAAATTATTGTTGCCCTATATACATATTTATAAATACATTCCTTATATATTATTTTAAAAGGGTAAATATGGTTGAATGATTTTCAAAGATAAAAGCCTTGAGTGATTTTATTGATACAAAATTGTTGGAAATCTTATGAAAAATACTTTATCTATAAGTAATTTTTAGAGCTTGAGACTTGTCAAAAAAAATTATCCGTAAAGATATTTCAATCCGCTACAGATATATTTCAAAGATTCAATCATCTCTTCTACTATAAAATTAGGGAAAATGCACAAGATCCCCCTCAACCTATGCCCGAAATTCCAAAGACGCACATACACTATACTAATGTTCTATTACCCCCTGAACTTATTATATATGTAATTTTCTACCCCTTTTCAGCCTATGTGACACTAACTTGAAAATAAAGGTCAACCAGCGTAGGGCCCACAACATAGTGCCACGTAGTCCTAAAAGGGGTAGAAAATTATTAATAAAATAAGTTTAGGGGGTAATAGGACTTTAGTATAGTATAAGTGTGTCTGTAAAATTTTGGGCATAAGTTGAAGGGGTACTTGTGCATTATCTCATAAAATTATTAGAAGCTTGCTCACAGTAAAATAGGAAGAAAGAAGTTGAGTCCATCACCACATCCCAAAAGAAAATTATTTTTGTTGATATTATATAAGGGAAAGATCAAGAGTAGCAAATTGATGGCTTCAACATCAGCCAACTAACTTCCTTTTGCAGCATAATGATTATTTAGTAATTGAGAAGTTAATGTGCCATTCAATATCATCAAATGAACACCAACATTAAGCAAATTAAAGCTTTATATAATTAAATTAATGTGAGTAATGTAGAACCATAACATTATACTCAAGAACAGCATCCCACTATTCCTATTGAACCAATAAATCTTCGCGTTGACGATTCCCTGAGCCAACCGAAAAACTCCAGAACCACCAACAGTTGGTATTTCACATTACTTTTGAAATGCATTACAGCCAAGAATACTCAATGTGCTCCCATTATACTTTCCCAGTTGTGAACACAAAATTTAGGATCATGAGAAGGGCACCCTTATCTTGATTAGCTGAACCATAAATCCCTTGGGCTCGACCCACTATTGTCGAGTTAGAATCTGGTCCAACTGTTAGTGTGTCGTCTATCATTGTAACAGACCCAAAAGAAGTTGGGTATTTGGCAGTCATGTTTGATAGGGCTATTTGGACTGCAGTTGGAATTTTCGCACTAACTTTGTCGTGAAAATGGAAATGAAATTTAATTACCTTTTGCTTTGAATGAGGAAGTTTCTTGAACCATTTTTTGATTTTCTTAACAAGTAGTTTTGTTAGGCGATACGGTCCACACTAGTGTGTGTGTGTGCGCGCGCGCGTGCGTGCGTGTGTGCGGGCGGGCGTGCGGGCGAGCGTGCGTGCGGGCGTGCGTGTGTGTGCGTGTGTGTATGTGTGCGCGCGTGCGCGCGTGTGTGCGTGTGTGTGTGTGTCTTTGTGTGTGTGTGTGTGTGTGTGTCTGTACAATGTGTAATATATATATATATATATATATATATATATATATATATATTATGTATGTATATATATATAATAATAATAATTTTATGAGATAATGCACAAGTACCCCCTCAACCTATGCCCGAAATTCCAGAGACAAACTTATACTATACTAAGGTCCTATTACCCCACTGAACTGATTTTATAAGTAATTTTATACCCTTTTTAGCTTACATGACACTAGTTTGAAAAAAAAAGTCAAGCATCGTTGGACCCATAAGATAGTGCCACGTAGGCTAAAAAGGGGTAAAAAATTAATAAAATAAGTTCAGGGGGTAATACGACCTTAGTATAGTATAAGTATGTCTCTGAGATTTTGGGCATAGGTTGAGGGGATACTTGGGCATTATCCATATATTTTTATTATTATTTTTGAATATTTGTTAAATTAGTTCATCTATGTAGAAAGAAAATAAGGTGAAGATAAAGATTTGAGCAAAACTGATTTTTTTAAAAAAAAGAGAGAGAGAGAGTCGCAGCGAATGCTGGACAAAATGATTGTCCACCAGTATGAAATCTGATTTTTTTTAAAATATATTATTTTGAACTTTAATTTTTTTATTTGTAACTTTCCTATATTTCATTTCGGGCAATGTTATCAAACTCTTTGCGAGTATCTTATATATTTTCTTCGTTCCCTATATTTGAACTTTAATTAGTGCTACATTTCTTTTTAGTTCGTGCAAAAAGAAAATCTTTTTTTATTTTTTTGACAGTTCATTAATTTTATTTTCTGCATAACATGCAACCAAACAAACATATTATGTATTTAATATATATTTAAAAAACATTCTATCCCTTCTAGTTTTCTATTTACCAAATATCTCTTAAAAATTTAGTTTACGTGATACATCATGAGTAGTACAGGATACATAAGCGATTATACATTCCAGTTGATAGCTATACATTTAAGAAGAAAATAATCACGTAAATTTATTTTTAATAACTATAAATCTCATAATTCACACTCGACAACTTGTAAACTTTCAATATCATTGCATAGCTGATTGATAAATTCAAATTTCAAATTAAAGTACCTTCATCAAACAA